AACTCCAGTTTTGTCAAGCCAGCCTTTGTGTCTCACTGCGAGGTTCCGAGCCTATCTGCTAAGGCTTAGGGGCGTTTTAAGAATTCCCCCTTCCGTACTGTTTCACTGTTTTGTATAGACTGACTGTTTTCTGTACTGTTATGTAGGGTTGAGTCCCTAGTTTGAATGAATGTAAATATTGTGCATACTGTTCTGTACTGTTTATGTATGAATGCATGAAAAATCTTTTTGGCATACAGACTGTCACAGCTCAATGGACATTATTTATTTACTGTATTGGCTTCCGCCAGGCCCTGTACTCTGTTTTACTGTATTACTGTTAAGCAGGCCTTCGGTAATCTCGGATTACTGGCCGGTTACGGTGCTAAACCCATAGGGCCGGGTTTGGGTCGTGACAAAGGCTCCCTTAAATTGAGCCCAAGTCATAACGGTGTTGGTGTCATGGACAAGCATCCACCACCTTTTGGCCTCTTCCTGTAAGGTGATGGTAGCTAGTAGCACTTTGTGTGTTTCAGAATACGGAAACACTTTAAATAATTTTTCAGTTTCTAGCACCCACGCTTCGGCCTTCAATGGTTCAACGCCTCCCTGAAATGATGGCGGTTTCATCTTACTGAACTTCTGTGTTAGAGCAATGATGCCATCATTCACATTCTGTTTCGGCTGTATCGGAGGAGGTGGAGGCTGCTGGTTCTGTTGTTGCTGTTTCCTTAAGGCCTCTGTCAACATTTCAACTGTTCTTTCTAGCCTTGCCATTCTAGCCTCAAATGATTCAGTTTCATCAGTAGTTCTTGCATTCTCCATTTCACTATAGGCAATTATGGCAATTATAAATATAGACAGTCGCATACTTAACATATTAACACATTAGCACGTATATTCATGTCATGGCCACACACACTTTTCATGCTCATGTAATGTCCTAATTACTTTTCTAGGACATCCTATAGCTCATTTGGACACGTGTGTGAGGTATAACTCGTGGTTTAGTATCGCTCTGATACCACTCTGTCACGACCTAAACCTGCTCCTATGGGTTTAGCACCTTAACCGGCCAGTAATCCGAGATTACCGAAGGCCTGTTTAACAGTAAAACAGTAATACAGAGAACAGGGGCTGGCGGAAGCGAAAACAGTAATTAAAAGATGTCTAATTAGCTGTGACAGTCTGTATACAAAAAGACTATTCATAACATATTTACATTCAGAACAAAAACAGTATATACATACATTACTTACAGGCATTCAGGTTAGGGACCAAATCCCTACCATAACAGTACAGTACAAATATTATTCAGTCTATACATAACAGAGACAGATAGGGTGAATCTGAGACACCCCAAAAGCAGCCTTAGCTTGACAGCATTTGGAACCTCGCAGTGAGGCACATTGGTTGGTTTGATAAAAATGGAGTTTAAACCCCACGCCCCTAGCTCCGATCTGGTGCCTGGACACCTACATATATATATAAACAGTGAGCTAAAGCCCAGTGAATAACATATGCGTAAAGAGGTTAAGAATGAATGTCCTTTCAGTATTGAAAACAGTCATTTATCAATATATCAGTCATTTAGTTTGTGGCTCATAATTCATGCCATAACAGTCATTCAGAAACTATAATAGTCATATGTGGTACATCCAATAACAAAACAGTACAGTAGGTCTTAACAGATCGAACAGTCAATGATGGCCATCATATCAGTAAACAATAGTGGTTCCAAACATGGGAACCAACAGAGATCTCTGTGACAGTAACAGTACAGTACAGTAACAGTAAATTGCTATGGATGCCACGAATACAGTTCACAAATAGGACAAACATTCATTCAGTAAGAAATATCATTTCAGAAAGCGGTACAGTTGCTCATTCAGAAAATATTCATGATTGAACATATCTTTACAACATTGTTACTCACAGAGCACTGGGCTATAAGCAGCTTGAGCGTCCTCGGATGCCAACCCTACAGTTACAGAACAAATACACACTAAGCTACACAGTTGGGAAATAATAGCTTAATCCCTAATTTGCCTCAGTGTGGTTCTACATCAATATCCTCATTAAGATGCCTTAAATTAGGCCTAAGAATGCCTAGGATGGAATGAGGATACAAAGATGCACTTTTAAACACTTTTCAAAATTTTGCTAAAACAGGGGTCTCGCTCGAACGTGGCTTTCTTCGCTCGAGCGGACATGCAGACAAAGGAGCTCCGCTCGATTATGGTTTCCCCTGCTCGAGCGGACTGTAAAATCATGCAAAAGTACTGGATGCATGCAATTCACACTCGACGGACACTCGGTCCCCGCTCGAGCGTGAGACACAAGTCCTCGCTCGAGCGTGTATTCCTACGCTCGAGCGGAAAATGCGTGTATCCAGTACTTTGCCTATGTTTACAGTCCGCTCGAGCGAGGGAATGCACGCTCGAGCGAGGACTTGTGTCTCACGCTCGAGCGGGGATTGAGCGTTCGTTGAGCGTGAATTGCATGCATCCAATACTTTTGCATGATTTTATAGTCCACTCGAACGGGGGAAACCACGCTTGAGCGGAGCTCCTTTGTCTGCATGTCCGCTCGAGCGGAGAAAGCCACGCTCGAGCGGGACCCTTGTTTTAGCAAAATTTTGGAAAGTGTTTAAAAGTGCATCTTTGCATCCTCATTCTATCCTAGGCATTCTTAGGCCTAGTTTAAGGCATCTTAATGAGGATATTGATGTAGAACCACACCGAGGCAAATTAGGAATTAAGCTATTATTTCCCAACTGTGTAGCTTAGTGTGTGTTCGTTCTGTAACTATAGGGTTGGCATCCGAGGATGCTCTAGCTGCTTATAACCCAGTGCTCTGTGAGTAACAATATTATAAAGATATGTTCAATCATAAATATTTTCTGAATGAGCAGCTGTGCCGCTTTCTGAAATGATATTTCTCACTGAATGAATGTTTGTCTTATTTGTGAACTGTATTCGTGGCATCCATAGCAATTTACTGTTATTGTACTGTACTGCTACTGTCACAGAGATCTCTGTTGGTTCCCATATTTGGAACCACTACTATTTACTGATATGATAGCCATCAATTACTGATATGATAGCCATCATTGACTGTTCGGTCTGTTAAGACCTACTGTACTGTTTTGCTATTGGATGTACCACATATGACTATTATAGTTTCCGAATGACTGTTTTGGCATGAATTATGAGCCACAAACTGAATGACTAATATACTGATAAATGACTGTTTTCAATACTGAAAGGACATTCATTCTTAACCTCTTTACGCATATGTTATTCACTGGGCTTTAGCTCACTGTTTATATATATATGTAGGTGTCCAGGCACCGGATCGGAGCTAGGGGCATGGGGTTTAAACTCTCTTTTTGTCAAGCCAATCAACGTGCCTCACTGCGAGGTTCCAAGTGCTGTCAAGCTAAGGCTGCTTTTGGGGTGTCTCAGATTCACCCTATCCGTCTCTATTATGTATAGACTGAATAATATTTGTACTGTACTGTTATGGTAGGGATTTGGTCCCTAACCTGAATGCCTGTAAGTAATGTATGTATATACTGTTTTTGTTCTGAATATGAATATGTTATGAATAGTCTTTTTGCATACAGACTGTTACAGTTCATTGGACATATTTTGATTACTGTTTTGGTTTCCGCCAGCCCCTGTACTCTGTATTACTATTTTACTGTTAAGCAGGCCTTTGGTAATCTCGGATTACTGGCCGGTTACGGTGCTAAACCCATAGGGGCAGATTTGGGCTGTGACACAAAAGCATACATATAAAATGAAGATTTTGCAGAAGGTTGAAGGGGTTAGGACCCATCGCCTCACCCTTGGGTGGGTCTTGGTGGTAAGGTTGCTCCATTGTGCCTTGGGCATTACAATTCAAATCATAAAAATAGATTTGACAGATATTGATAGCCATATGATTAGATCCTATCTGTCTTTAAAAAAAAATTGAATCCAATCACGTGATTATCAATATCAAATTACCTTAAATTTTTTTACATAAATGATCTACTCAACAGACTTAGAAAATGAATTGTTTAAATTATTGAGGTAAGCTCATAATAGATCCCACCAAGGAGCACAACAGTGACACCAAGCACATCCACCTTAGTGTCTTATAAATAGTGGGAAAAATATTAAGTAGTATCGTAATTTGTACATGTGGTGCTCTTAAAATGTAAATTAATGAAGTTAACTTTCTTTTTTTTTTTAGTTCAATGGGTCACATTAACTTCATCAATTCTATGATTATTACTCTTATTGATTTGAAAATACCGTAATTTTAGTCTTATTTATTTTGAAGCACCATGTTCACTTGTTGAGGTGTCTTTTTTTCTTCTTTTTTTTTTCAAGTGATGAAAGAATATGCTTGACTAGATTAAAGGTAGAAGCAATTTCCTAACAATGTCCCTCCCCTCCGCTCACTGACTTGCCAAGACAGACAAGTCAAGCAGACTCCAAGTCAATGATTATCCAATGACAAAAACAACCTCAATTTCCATTTCCATAAATCATACCATTCATAAGTAAAAACCAGCCTCCACCAAGGGCAATACAGTTATTAACCCACCAACCAATATTCCTCCTCCTGCTTCCTACAAGAACAAGAACAAGCAAAGCAAAAGCAAAGAAACACAGAAAACACAAAAATGGTGGGAGAGAGACTTGGAGAGCGCATAAAGGTGAGAGAAGAGCTTATCAAGAAAGCTTGTTCTCTTTCTTTCAAAGCTCACAAGTCTCCTGGGAAGCCATATCTTCTTGAGAAAGTCCGCGGCAGAGCGTTGCCGGAGGTCATTTTCGTCTTTTCAGGATCATGGTCTATTGGTGATTGGTTCAGTAGTACTAGTGGCAAGGCTTTTGGAGAAACTAAGGTTGATCTGGATTTGTTTCCTTCACTTAGGAATATCGGCAACGTCGATGAAGTGGCCGCGGTCAACGAGGCATTTTTTCGAAGATTTGCGGAAATTCTCCGGACATCTTCGTTTAAAAACGAGGTATCAATTCCAATTTCAATTTCAATCCTTGTGTTTGTGTTAGTGTTTGTTTTGCAGTGTTGCTCTGTTATGTTCACTATTTTTTGGAGTAATGCTAATAATAAATGGTGTTTTGCTTGCTGATTAAATTTTTTGTCAAAACAAATTAACATGAAATATATAATAAATGCAAAAAAGTAAAAATACCAAAAAAAAAAAAAGAACAAAAAGAAAAAATCAAGACTCATTTCATTTGTTTGTTTATATTTATATTTTTAAATGCTGTTTTGTTTGGTACTGGCTGGCTGCCTTTTTTTAATGAGATTGTTTTTTTGTGGTCTGCTTCCCTTAGTGCCGATTGGACTGTAGAGTATTGTTAGATCTGTAGGGATTTATCACGGATCCCGTTTTGATAATTCGAATCGTTTAATATGTAGAACTCATCGAATATTATATGTCTATAAAAAATCATGTTGATCGGATATCGATAGATATGTGATCAAATCATTTTTGCTTAAAAATGGATGGTGAAAAAATAAACGGTTGGCATAAATCTGATCTGATGAAATAGCTATCAATATTCGATCAACGTAATTTTTTATAGGCATGTAGTATTCGACGATTTCTACATATTAAATGATTCAGATTATCGAAATAGAACCTGTGGTGAGCCTCATGGGCCCAATAGTATCCTCTAGTCTTATCTGGGGAAGTCAATCCCTTTTTTGTGTGCATCCATTAAATTTTTGTTTTGTTTTGCTTTTTTACCTAAAATTCAAAAAAAATAGAAAAAAAATCAAACTTGAAAAAATAAAAAATAGAAAAGAATGAACTAAAAAAAAAAAAAAAAGAAGTTAAAATCCGAACTAATAGTCCACGGGAAAGAATCCAATAGGGGAAGTAAGATAAAAAATGGGAAATTAAGAAAAAATTTGGATTAATTGGCTAAATTATAAAATGGGTAAATTACACTGATGTCTCTTTAAGTTCAGAGAAAATACAGTAAGTTTTATAGTTTTGGTATAATTACATTAAATTTCTTTGAGATTTTAATTCATATAACATTTAACCTCATTCATTAATAATTTGTTAGTTATATGAATAAAAAAATAATATTGACATCCCTTTTACACGAAAATGTATAGAACACTGTTTATTTTTGTGTTTTTGCACTACATGTATTAAATCCGTTCAATATTGTTTGTTTGTTTGTTTTTTTTTTTTTCAAACCTCGGGGAGATCAGTGTAATTTACCCTTATGAAATTGATTAGAATTTTACTAATCTCTCTAAAATGGGGAATTAAGAAGAATTTGGACTAATTGACTAATTTACAAAATCGATAGAATTTGAAACAAAAATAAAAAACACCAATTTTCTTGTTGAAACAAAAAAACCATAATTTCCATTAAAGCATGTTGAAAAACAAGTATAATGAGCAGCATGTATGTGATTCATTGATTCACAGGTGAATAAAGCAGTGACAGACAAGAAGCAAATAGTATTTGCAGGCCATTCCTCAGGTGCTGCAACAGCCATTCTAGCAACCCTCTGGTTCTTGGACCATAACCTTCATGTTCAACCAAACAAAACTCAAATCATCACTCCCCTCTGCATTACTTTCGGTTCCCCATTACTCGGGGATCGGATCTTCCCCCACTCCCTTCGCCGCGAAAACTGGGACAACTTTTTCATACACTTCATCACCAAACACGACATCGTCCCTCGCATAACTCTCTCTCCCCCCTCCTCCATCCAACAAGATTTCCAAAAATTTCTCAACATTCTCAAAACAAAATCTCCAATCACCACACACGAAAACGTTTCCAACTTTTTCGTTACTGTAATGAAGAATGTACAATCTGTTACAAGCCATGCAGCTTGTAATATGATGGGGTCCACAAATCCGCTCCTCCAAACTATTACTAGTTTTGTACAACTCAGCCCTTATAGGCCTTTTGGAACCTATATTTTGTGTTCGGGGAATGGAAAGCTTGTTGTGGTGGAGAATTCTGATGCAGTGCTGCAACTACTGTTTTATAGTTGTCAGTTGAAGAGTGGACAGGAAATCGAAGAGGTTGGTTATGAGAGTTTGAAAGAACATTCTGGATATGAAAATGAATTGGAAGGGAGTTTAGAAATGCAAAATGTGGTTTATTTGGATAATTACTTGAAAGAGGTTCCTCTGTCTTCGGATGCCAGTGTGGTTGGTGAGGCAGCCACTGTTAATGCAGCCTTGAATGATCTCGGCCTGGTGAGTTTCAACCCCTGCCCCTGCCCCTTCTTCTTCTTGTTTTTTTTTTGGCCAAGGGTTAATTGTACAATTTAGTTTTCAATCTTTTAATTATTTCATTTTGGTCACTAAAATATATACACTTTTGTTCCTAGCATCAGTATCATTTAAAATCAATAATAGGAGGCAGGGTATCTATAAAGTATTCGTTTTGTTACAATTTAGTTTTGAATCTTTTAATTGTTCCATTTTGATCTCTAAAGAGTACAATTTGTTATTCTTTAGTCCCTAGTATCAGTATCGGTTAAAATCAATAACAGAAGAGAGGGTAATTATTTTCATAATTTTACAAAAACAAAGTTAAACAAAATTATAAGATTAGAGACTATAAATGTATGAAAATACTTACGTCGGATACTAAAATGAAACAAAACTTAAAATGCATGTTTTTTTAGGCCATGTGTGTCTTTGGCCATTTTGATTTTGTTGAAGCCTTCTTGTTAAATTTCAAAAATACCACACTTCAGTTACTGATTTTGAATGATGTGGACGTTAGGGACTAAACTGTAAAAAATTGCATATTTTGAGGACTAAAGTGGAACAATTGATAATTTGAGTACTGAAGTGTCACAAAACCTATAATTTGGGGACTATTAATGTAATTAACCTTTTTCACAATTAGCCAATTATCTTTGTTTGGTTTGATTTTTCAAAAATTATTTTCAAACGAGTTTTCATTTTTCTTTAATGAACCTTTTTTTTTCTTCATATTTTAGTTTTTTCTACTTTTAGATATATCAAGATTAAATGCATGTAAAAAAATTAATTAAAATATTAAAAAAATTGATTGAAAATAAGTGAAAATCCGATTTTTGTTTGAATTTTCTTTTGTTTTTAGTGATTTTTTAAAATATTTTAGTTAAATTTTTCTTTTAACTTTTTAAATATATCAAAATTTGGTGTATCTATTTTTTTTTTCAAAAAATTAATACAAATATGAGAAGACAAACTAAAATCGTCCAAAAACAATTTTTGAAAAATCAAATACAACATAGAACCCTCTCTAATTTCAAGAGCTTTGATTGAATGTGCCAGAGCACAAGAGCACGGTTGTGTCTTCGAGCTGCAGGAGAATTACAAGAGCAAAAGCAGAGAAACGAAAGAAAGATAAATTCAAACAAAAAAGAGATTGAAGAAAAACTCAAAATCATACAAGATTACCAAAAAGGGTGCACACTCCGCAAGGTTGGATATTATGATACCTTCAAGATACAGAAAGACGACAGGGACTTCCATGCAAACGTCAGGAGGGTCGAGCTGGCGGGATTGTGGGATGAGATTATCGAAATGTTAAAAAGGTATGAACTCCCAGACGAATTTGAGGGTCGAAAAGAGTGGATAGAGTTGGGAACTAAGTACAGAAGATTAGTAGAGCCTCTAGATATTGCAAACTATTATAGACACTCGAAGAATGAAGACACCGGACCTTACTTGGTCAAGGCTAGGCCAAAACGCTATCGATACACACAAAGGTGGCGCGAACATGCTGAGAGAATGGCGCAAGGGTCCAGCTCTGAATCGTGTTTTTGGGCTGAAGTGGAGGAACTAAAAAGTCGAAACAAACCAGATGAAGACATGGGAAAGATTTTGGAATTAGAGAAAGATTTATCTGCGTGGGTTGAACGTGGCGAGATTGGCAGAGATATGTTCTTGGGTGAGTCGACATTTGCCAAGTGGTGGAGAGAGCTCCCTGAGGGACATAAAAGAGGATCATGCCTTGCTCAGTTTATGAACAACTGAAAGAAATTAAACTTTAAATGTCAGGATAGAGGTATTGCTTAAAAATAACTGTTAAAGATTATTTCAAACAATTAAGCTCTGAATGGTACTCTGCCTTTGTGACATTCATTTGAAAATAATGAGATTTCTCTAGCTATATTATGTGCGCAAAATCTTGTCTTTCTCAAACGACTTCAGCTGCAATTTCTTAGTTGCAGATAGGGCTTTAAATGAACGGAGCTCAGTCGAGCTTTTGCATGACTCGAATTTGGCTAAAAAACTAATCCAGCTCGAGCTTGCAAACAGCTTGATTCATTTGTAACCCTAGTTACAGATGATTAGTAGCCATAAACACACACACGCACGCACAATTGACTGGAAGGTATCTGCTACCTACAATCTGTTGACACCATTCTGGCCATCGTCAATTTTCTTCCAGATTTTGAAAAACTTCCATCTCCAGCAATTCCTAATTCAGATAAAAGTCCTGATTGTTCAAGTGGCTGGATTTGAAATGACATTGTTCGGATCCAAACTAAGCAAAGAGCTTAGACATTGTTCTTTCAAGTGTCCTTCCATGCAGTTCTTAGTTAAACCAAGCCACAACTGCCTGAAATAAAAATAGATACAGTTTAATTTGATTCCCAATCAAACTCATTTACAACTTTTTTCCAGAACAAACTGTACAAGACAGTTTCACCTCTTATCATTCCAAAAGATAGAGATTACAAAACAAACAACTGTTACCACCCTACTATCTTATTTCTTTACAAAGTATACTGACAAGACTGTACACATCAAAATGTTTGATTACTAGCTCTTGTATAGCAGTGATACACTTCAAAGATGACAGAAAGCTTTTCAATCTTCCAACAGATAAAATCCAAGGTTAATCCCCAATCCAAAAGCCACAACAAGTGACAATGCAAGAAAGAATACGATTAGGTAAAACAGAATGCGGCTCTTTTTCAAATTTTTGGATAGTCTTTTCAGCTTCTTCTGGTGAATTGTAGTCATTGAGTTTGATGAAGCACAAAACAATTGACAAAAATCCGCAACTAAATCTGGCTTATCATGAAAGCAAATGCAAACCTACAACATAAAAAACTAGTAAATAAGGTGGAACAGCGAAAATCAAAAACAAAGACATAATAGTACCAAACATGTAAGTGTGAATTTTTGAAGAATCTACATATATAGGTAGAAAGCTATTGTTTCCTTGTATTGTTTTGTTTTCGTTTCTGTTATATGGATATACTTTTTTGGACAGAACTACAAATACATACATCAGAACATATGACCATAGTTGCTTAAATAACAAGAAACATATAAAGTACGGTCCAATTCTGATGCCTGCTCTACAGAAAGAAATCATGGCCAATGGAAGCACCGGCAGAGCTAGGAATTTGGCCGAGGGGCAAAATTCAGGGAAATTATTCAGTCGGATTGATTAGGGTTACAAAGTTTAGTTTTGTTTGATTTAGTAAAAGATCAATTACCAACATTTCAAAATTATTACAATATCATACATAACAAAACCATTGTAACCATTCAAATCTATAGACCTCTCAAGCAATAAAGAAGGTAAAATGTCAAGAAAATACACATAATAAAAGGAAATGTTTTCTTAAATTTTTTTTGAAGCAAGTCAATCTATCTCCGTATTCTAGTCAATGGTGCGTCATGTTTACTGAAAGAAGAATTAAAAAAAATTAGGGGGTACATACATAATTTTTTAGGGTAACCAAAAATATTTTCAAAACCTTGGACTCAGAGGTTCTGAAAAGCGGTTGCGGTCGCCGTAACGGTGGCGGTGACGCGGTTGCGGGGTGTAAAGGCCGTAGTGTAACGGTTGTAGTAACCGAAACTGTGAATTTTTTTATTTTTTACACAATTTGAAAAAAGTTTACCGATACGCATATTTTTTTTCCATGATCATATTTATTGGGTTAAAAATAAATATTGATCAATTTTTATAAATTTTAAGTATGATGCAATATATTTCATATTTTTAAATAACTATAAACTGAGTTTTTTATATTTTATTTTGATAATTAATGACTTTATATTATATAAAAAATCAATCACTAACTATTATATATAAGATAAACAATGATAAAAGTAAAAGAATAAATAAGAGCTTATATATATATATATATTTTAACCAAGCCAAATAGATAATGACCACACTTATTGTTATTATTATTTTCAAACAATATATAGATAGACACACAAATAAAATGATTTAGTGATAGCAGCTGAATAGAATAGCATAGGTCTTACAGTTTTAACAAATCAATAACATGCTCTTCATCTTCCCTCTTCTCTCTCTCTATCTCTTACTCCTCCATTTTCTCTCTTTATCTTCCCTTTCTCTCTATCCCTCTTCTCCCATTTTCAGTTTTTTTTTTTGTATTTTTTCGAAAGAAACAGTTTGAAACTGTTACGTAACGGTGCATACCAGGCTGTTACGACACTGTTACGACCGCTACGGCAGCCGCTACGGCCGACACACCTGTGAATCTCAATCACACTGCAAAAGCGGCCGTAACGGGTGGCGGTAACTGCCAAAACCGTTACGTAACGGTTGCGGCCGCTTTTTAAAACCTTGCTTGGACTAAAATGTATTTTTTGCAAAATTGTGGAGGGACACGTGCCCTGCTTGGGCCTAGTGGCTTGGCCACTGAATGAAAGCCATTCTCTTCCTATCATTAAGAAGTTGAAATAAAATTCTCTTTAAGATCTCCATGCCATAACAGGAAGAGAATGGCTTCAATTAAAGGATAGATGGGTTTGCTCTAGTGATGTTATCCTTAAAATGGTACCAATAATATGAACCATGGGATGTTAAGTTTGGACCTGAATCAATCTCCCATTAACAATGAGATATACAAAAGTAAACATGAAAAAGATTTATAGTTAACAACTTCCTCGTGCACCTCGTCAATACTCTTCTCTTTATTCCAATATCCTTCGAGAATGTCTAAAAAGGACTTTAGCGTCTTTCATCATGCATGTACTCTACCTGCAAGTGCAACATATATTCTAAATTAAATCTAAAGCTTAGAGAGCCTAATTAATTAATTTAGTAATTAACTTTTCTTAACTACTGCTAGCATGGCACCTTGACTTTGTCAACAAAACTTACTGTCTGTTCTACTCCGACTGCATTTGAAACTGAGTAATCTTTCTGGATTGGTACGGAGATCTCATATCCAGCTGGCAAGAAGATGTTGAACCCTGCAACAAGTTCTGGGTGCTCCTTGAATAAAAATTTGATCCTTGATCGAACTACATTGATATCAGATCTACACAATAAAATTAAGATATTACCCCAACTTGAATCATATACAGAAATCATGATATTAGTAGAGCTTTGAAGAATTCAAGTGGAATCAATTTTAACCAAAAAATTTCTTAGAACAAATTTCAGTACAAGTTGGTGTGTCAATAAAATTCCAGTTTGGTAGAAACTTTTACCCCATACTTGATATCGAAAATTCTTATTTAAATGAGAAGGTTGAGCATAACATCTAAAACCAGATATTTGTCTGATATCAAATGTGCTTGCAGCATAAATCTTTGTGGGACTGCAAAGATAAAAGCAACAAAAATCGGGCGTCCATCATTCATGCACTATTCCCAAAGCACTCAATACGACACATGTTGTCTAAAATGCATGAATAGTTCTAAGAAGGGTGTGCAGATTTCTACCTATTAATCCTTATCCTTTCAACGTCAATGCCTTTTTTAACGTGTATTTATACCTATCAATCCCTCATCCTTTAAACTTGTGCGTGTCCCCTCGTGTTGTGTTCTGTATTTTTTGAAAATTGTCATTTCATGTCACATATCCTTGTCTGCGCTTCTTAGCACGTTAGCAACACCAATCACAGTTTGAGATCAGACATCTAGCATCTTCAATCATGACCAATATTAGCCACAAAAACAAGTTAATTCTTTTAAAAGATCTTTGCAGACTCCCTTGGACATCCTAGCTTATTTATCCTGCTATAAAGAGCATGGGATGTATACAAAGATTTTGAATAAGAGAATGCCAATAAAACATTATATCTTAGGAGCCTCTCCCACGACATTCATAATACAATTGAGGTTTTTCACAATATCCTTGGATTGTAAAGGGATATAGCAGGTTTATGTTGTTTGTGTATACATATATATATGTAAGCAAATACACAAACATACATTAAAAAAAATGTTAACAACTAATGTTGATAGATTCTAGAATCTCTAGTATAGGAAGTGCTCCATTGATATAAGGCACATAATTGTTGAGAGATGCAAGGTAAATGTTCTAAACAATTGGAGAATAAAGAAATTAATTACACTGCTGAACTTGTTTTCTCAAAAGCAAAAAACTATAACAACACACAAAACAAAAAATAACAAGTAAAACAGAAACAAAATAAAATGGGAATAAGGAACTGTGTACATGCAAAATTCAGGGATAAAAACCAAAAAAACACAAAAACAAAATAACAAGCAAAATGGAGAACAGAAAGCACAAACTGCTGGCAAACTTGTCCCAAATTGATAAGCAAATTTGGATAGGAAATAAAATAGTGATAAAATAATAAGTAAAACAACTTTTGATCAAGGTGTTTCATTTTCTGTAGTTCAAAAAAAAAAAAAAAATGGTGTTTCATTTTCTTTTTTCCTATTTTTGCTATTTTTTTCTTTTGGGTGGGGTGGGGGCATTCATAAACATAAAAGCATGTGACAATTTCACAGACATTATTTTCAACATAAAAAAAAAAAATAATAATAATGAATTTAAAATTCAATGCAAATTGACCATTTTACAAACAAGAATGATAACAAATAGTACATGTACATAGGGTTTATATTAAAAAAATCCAATCCAATTTTTTCTTGGATGGTCATACATGCAAAAGCACACACTCACTTTCATAAATCAAGTCATAACACCATAGAAGGTCCTGAAACCAGCTGCTTTCAGTTGTTACTTGCAACATATCTATTTTATATATATATATATTTTCTACACAGTTTGTGTTTGAAATTTTATTTAGGGTAAATTATACTTTGCACCATTACATTATGTATGGATCATGGATTTCGAAAGAGATTTGACAAGGGAATGAGAAATGGAGAAAAACACTAATATATTTTATTCACATTTCTCTCACCTTTTCCATTTCCCTTTTTAAATTCCTACCCAAATCTATAATCCAAATACAACATTAAAGTATAATTCAATTCTCACTTTGGATCTAAAACTTCAGATTTTCTCAATTTGGTCCCTCAATTATTGGATTTTTGTCAATGTGGTTTGGTTAGTAACAGTTGTCGAATTTTTGGACGAAAAATGTCAAGTGGTGTTGAATTGAAACTTTTCTCACTTTGACCCTTCAAGTATTGCACTTTTCTAACTTTGGCCCTAAGAAGCATGGACACTTTTAAGAAGGTTGGTTGTCCGACACGACATGACACGACACTCATTGGAGACTTCTCAACACTTGTCAAACACAAGTCCAAACATGTCCTATTATTTTTTAGAAACTTTCTAGAGTCGGAACACATTTCAAATGCTTGAGGAACACATGTATCTATCATTTAGACACACATGAAACATATTACAAGTTCGAAGAGAATAAATCTAATAATAAAAAACAATGTAAATTTAAATTTATTCTCATCTTGTAGACTTTAGAAATTAGTGTTACATATATGACATAATATATATAATAATATAACTATATTTTTTGCTTGTGCCCCCATGTGTTTTGTCACATATCTATATTTGTGCTTCTTAGCTTTGGCCATTCAATTGAACGCAATGTGGCATTCTCTGTTGATGGTAATTTCCAACAACACCATATTGACAAAGATTCAATAATTTAAGGACCAAATTGAGAAAATGTAAAGTTTAAGTGCCAGAACATAATTAACATTTTATTTATGGTTTCCCATGTCACCATAGTATCTTGAGCCAAGAACCTAGGAAAGTAGAAGATTTGACACAAGAACTGAGCCTTAATAGCAATCTAAATGATCAAAAAAATATGCTAAATGCCATAATTTATTTCATTCTTTTGAACAATTCAAGAACAGGGTAAAAATTTTTCAGCCATCACAACTACCAATATAAATACAACAACATTCAATTCAATTCAATTCAATTCAATTCTTGTGGGTGAATGTATCAAAATAATCAAATCAAACATGGCATAAACAATTGAGGAATGATCTAAACTAACAAAGATAACACAGAGCAAGCAACTAACAAACAGACCTTCTGTCCCTGTAATCTTTCATGATTTGGGTAAGCTCTGCATACTCCTCAGATTTTCCCCCAAATGTAATTTTCACAGAAAGCATAAATTTGAGAGCATCCTCTTGATTTAGCTTTTTCTTTGGTGCAATCAGAGTCAGTTCCTCATATTCAATTGTTGATTGAATTCTGTTACATGTCATACAATCCAAGACCTATTCAAATGAAAAATGTACATACACATACATATATAAACATTTTTCAATTTTTCAAGAACACTAGAAACATAAAGAGAGAATTGACTGACGAGTCAGAAGAGTCAGAGTCGGAATGGTAGGGTTCTTGGGGTTGATGTTGATCCATTGAAGAGTTGTATCAGAGCTACAAAGAGGAAAGGCCTTGAACCAAAGAGAGATTATATACATATGGTTTGGGAAATGAGAGTTAGGGTATGTTTGGTTAGCTGGATTTCATTTTCTTGAAGTGGGTTCGGATTTTCTTTCAGGTTAATGGAAGAATTTCCCATTGAAGTTCATTGGAATTTGAGAAGCTTGGGAATAGGGTATAGAGTTTATGAAATATATACCACACGATTGTAATAAATCAATTTATAATGATGATATTACTCTAATTTAAATTCAGTAGCTATGAATTAGGAAGGGTTGAACATAACTATTATGATTTTTAATGGTCATATTATCACTTCCAATAATATTTTTTGGTGCCACTAGGGGTTATCAAATGGCCACTGATACAACACTCCATATTAATTAATTCGTCCCATGACCCATACCAAATTGTTTGAGTATTTAACCTATTTTAATCCATAAAAGATAATTTAAAATTTTGAACAAACGCCAGTAACTCGAGCCTACCTATGAACCCGGCTTATAAGAGCCTGCATGGGTAAAGCATAACTTGACCATTTCATCAGTCTGATTCAATTTATTCTGTCCATTTTTTTTTTATATGTATTTAAAAAAAATTAACGTTGTTCAATTTCTTCGTGACAAAAAGAAAAAGAAAAAAAAAAAACTGTTCAATTCAAATTTAATTCATTAAAATGAACGCAGTTAAACCTCAGGCCTATGTGTGCATCTCTAAATTATGTTTAGATTATAGATTTAGAAATATATATATATATATATATATAAAATAAAGCAAGATGGTTTTTAAATTTGTCTTACACATATTTGTCTTACTAAGACATTTGGACGGCCTAGATCTATTCAAATTATAAAACAACGGTTGAGATATATTTTTCAAAAAATATCCTTCATGTAAATTTTTTATTTTCCCGCTTCTCTCTCTCTTACTTTTTTCTTTTCTCACCCATCTTTTCATGATCCCATGATCTCACCTTTCTCTCTCTTTTCTTTTTATTTTTTTATTTTCTTGCGTTTTTATTTTTCTCTCTATTTGTTTATTTTCTCCATTTTGTTCAATACATTTTACACATATTTCTATAGAATGTATGTATGCCCGTAATACACTAGGATATTATGGGCATATATACAATTTTCATATAATTATATAAGCAAAAATAATATTATATGTATCTTCGTGGAAATTGTATATATGCCAAGCACATCTATCTATCTAGTTATATATTATATAAGCAAAAGCGAGTTTTCATGAGAAGTTTAGTGAGAACTCCAAAATTTTATAATAAATTTGTGATTTTATCAAATTAAAAAATAAATTTAAATAGTGTTGGGATTTCAATTATATTATAATCGTAACATTATTTACACCGTGCTTCAAGTACGAGTATACACTAGTATATATATAAAATGAATAAAATATAGCGACATTTACTCACTTTTTTTTTTTTTTTTTTTTTAACTTTTTAAATTTCTACTAAATTCATGATTTAAACCTAATAAGATGATGATGCCAATTTTGGGCCCAACATAATTTGATCTCCTCCATTGCTATTGGACTCAGCCTCAGTCACTGCCAGTCAGGCCCACTTCACTTTTGAGCTAAGAATTTGTTGAGCAACAGAGTATGAATCAAATTATCAATTTATTTCGTTAGTTAATTTTTTTTTTTAACATTTTAGATCATCTAATCTAAAATAATCTAAATTGTACATCTTAAAAAGGGGCTCAGTCCATTAATTCATTTTATGAAGGGGCAATTACAGGCCAATCCTATGGAGTACACTTAAACAGGTCCTCCATTTCGACTAGCTTGAGAAATAGAGTAAGGATCCCCTCATTGACTTCCTTACTTGACTCCCTACCTGATGGGCTATTGGGTCTATTTTTGGGCTCAATTTCGATGATCCGAACCGTTCACATTTTAGAATTTGTCATATACATCATACCTGTAAAAATTCAAATTGATCGAATATCGGAAGAACTAAAAACCGTTTATTAAAAATAATTTGATAAACAATTTTATTGTTTAATAAAACTTTTAGTTCATGTGGTTTTTGATATCTGATCGACTTGATTTTATATAGGTATGATATACATGACAAATTTTAAAATATGAACAGTTCGGATCATCAAAATTCAACCCAAAAGTTGGCCCAATGGCCCATCAAGTAAGAAATTAAGTAAGGAAGTCAAGGAGGGGATCCTTACTCGGGTAGAGCTGGATAGTTGTTGGTCTTGGTCATGAATCTCTTCACAATATATATATATTTTGTTTCAGAGTGAGATGGTTTTCAACATAACTTTTTTAAAATGATTTTTAGATCTTTAAAATAATTTAGTTTTATTTATCAGATAAAGTGATAAATTTATCATTGATAAATCAGACTATTTTATTTTCTATGTATGTATGTGGGAATGATGGGTTATTGTGAATGATAGAGTCCAAGTGCGAGTGAGTGAACCAAATTTGCTATTTGTAAATTGTTTACAAATCAATATGATAAATTTTTCAGTGATAATTTTATCACTGAATGTGTATAATTATCATATTGATGTTTATGCATTCTAAACTATACTGATTGTTAAATTGTTCAAAATTTTTAATTCACTGATAAATCAGAGTATTTTATTTTCTATGTGTGTAAGTGGGAATGATGGGTTGTTGTGAGTGATAAAGTGCAAGTGCGAGTGAGTGAACCCAATTTGCTATTTGTAAATTTTTTACAAATTAATATGATATATTTATCAATGTGTATAATTTATCATATTGATGTTTATGCATTCTAAATTATACGGATTGTTAAATTGTTTAGATTTTCTGATTCATTGGGTGTGGATTTGATACTTGTCTTGTTTTTTCTATTTCTGTACTGAGAAATGCTTCTAAAAAATTTCACGAAACCATCAATTTGGATAAAATTACTTATTGACACATATGCCTAAATAGATGAACTGCAGATTAATGTGAGGTGGCTTGAGATTGACTACCTGAAATAATGCCATTCTATGTTTATTTAATATGGCAGGCCATGGCTGGAATTGCTGGCAATTATAGTTAGTTATGGAGAAACTTGTTAATTGTGCTTGATCTACTTTTCAATGCACATTGTTATGTTTGTTTCAATGACATAATGCTAAACTGCATTTATCATAATAAAAGAATTCATTTCTTTATTTTGAATTTTTAGTTTATTTTAGGTACAAATGAGGGCCGATCGAAAGTATAAAAATTCAAGCTAACTCCAGGTTATCTCTATATGAAAAATGAAAGTCTAAAATAAAATTTGAATCTCGCATATGAATCTACTTATTTGGTCTTTGCTTCTTCTAATTTGACTTGGATTTTAGATATCCCTCACAACAGGAAGAATGTTGGCATTGTTGAATTTCTTGTTATCGATATAGGAAAGCTTAAAAATTGATACCCCCCAAAAAGAATCTTTTACAGCTCACATTTCCATTATCATCTCAAAAATAAATTTAAAAAATCGGACAAATGAATCACAAAAGGGTATTCACTTAAATTCAAATGGCACCAAATCAAATAAATACAACTTTCTAAAACAAAAAGGACTAATTGATTCATAAGAAAACTCTTACGATTGATTTGATATGACATTCCAAAATGGGTAGATTTTCCATGTTCATAATGTATTTCTGATTTGATATGACATTCCAAAATGGGTAGATTTTCCTTGTTTATAATGTATTTTTGATTTGATATGACATTCCAAAATGGGTAAATTTTCCTTGTTCATAATGTATTTCTGATTTGATATGACATTCCAAAATAGGTAAATTTTCCTTGTTCGTAATGTATTTTTATTGAAAAATATACTATGTACGATAGCAAAGAATATTATTGTCTAGAAGAACCTCTGCTGTCATTGGTACACTCATTTTACACAGAACAACCTTATATAAAACTCATCATTCCTCTCTCAGCTTTCATTGCAACAACTCTGAACCATTTTAAAAACGAGCTATGAAAATGGCTATTGAACTGAACTGCAGATTAATGTGAGGTGGCTTAAGATTGATTTCCTGAACTGAACTACTGATTAATGTCAGGCTGAAATGATGCCATTCAAAGTTCATTTAGTATGGCAGGCTATGGTTGGAATTGCTGAAAATTATAGCTAGTTATGGAGAAACTTGTTAATTGTGTTTGATCTAATTTTCAATACATAGTGTCATGTTTGTTTCAATGACATAGTGCCACGCTGCATTTATCATAATAAAAGAATTCATTTTTTGACTTTGACTTTTTACTTTATTTTAGGTACAAATGAGGGCCGAAACCCTGAAGTATGAAAATTCAAGCTAAATTTAGATTATCTTAGTATGAAAAATGAAAGACTAAAATAAAATTTGAATCTCGCTTATTAATCTACTTATGTGGTCTTTGCTTCTTCTAATTTGACTTGGATTTTATATATCCCTCACAACAAGAAGAATGTTGGCATTGTTGAATTTCTTGTTATCGATATAGGAAAGCTTACAAATCAAACCCCCCCCCCCCGAATCTTTTACAGCTAAAAAAAAAAAAAGAAAAAAAAAGAAGAAGAAAAGAATCTTCTACAACTTATATTACCGTTCTCATCCAAAAAGTAAATTAGAAAATTGAAAAAATGAATCACAAAATGGTATTCACTTAAACTCAAATTGCACCAAATCAAATAAATACAATTTTCTAAAACAAAAAGGACTAATTGATTCATAAGAAAACTTTTAGAATTGATTTGTTATGACATTCCGAAATGGATAGATTTTTCTTGTTCATAATGTATTTCTGATTCGATATGACATTCCAAAATAGGTAAATTTTCCGTTTTCATATTGTATTTTTATTGAAAATTAAAATATGTACAATAGCAAAGAATATTATTGTCTAGAAGAACCCCTACTGTCATTGGTACACTCATTATACAAACAACAATCTTATATGAAACTCATCATTCCTCTCTTAACTTTCATTGCAACAACTCTGGACCATTTTCAAAAACAAGCTCTAAAAATGGTTATTGAACTGAACTGCAGATTAATGTGAGGTGGCTTAAAATTGATTACTTGAAATGATGCAATTCTAACTTCATTTAGTATGGTAGGTTATGGTTGGAATTGCTGGCAATTATAGTCAATTATGGAGAAACTTGATAATTCTGTTTGATCTACTTTCAAGGCACAATGTCAT